AGTTTAATTTTGTAAAAGTAATTATTCCATAATAAAATGTTGGTACATTGTAACTTCTGTTCATGTACGTCTCACAATGAGAAAAATATACCAATTTAAAAGTAAAACTATTTTTTTGAAGTGAATCTGGAAAACAGCACGGGCAGTGAATCTATAATCACAATTTAGGAAGCAGTGATGTCGAAATTTGTGACTGAAAATGCCAACAATTTCTGGACAATTCTATTTAGACACTAATTTTAATCCCTGAAAGGCTTCAGAAAATATCATAAGCACTTTTCAAACTGTTCACTTTTGCTCTGATATTTAACAAAATGGTATAAACAAGGAATTTTTTTTTGTAAATTGCACGAGGTCAATAGATTATTAAAATTACAGTCGTGCCGTCTGTCACTGCAAAAAAGTAATAACAAATCAAGGACGTGTATGGTTTATGAATATTTCTGATGTTACGCCCAGGTTGAATAGGCCCCTCATGCGGCACCAATGAAATTAATTTATCAGTTAATTACCAAGCTTGTCAGATATGCTGGTGGTATGTACATCATGTACATCATATATGAAAATATACATCAGCAGTACCTTCACTTTATAATATATTCTCAGAAATAATATTTATTCTCAGAAATTATATACATATATATATACAGTTACCGGTACAAACATTATTTGTGACAATTTCCCACAAATATGGGCGTTGTGAACAATTATTCAAATTTTGAGATTTCACCTTCATATGGTAGAGCAGGGGGAATAAATGAGTCAGGTTGGCGTAGCGGTACTTTCCTCGCCTTCCACCGCTGTGACCCGGGTTCGATTCCTGCCCAGGCCAATATGTGGAATTGGTTTCAGTCCCTGCCTGATTCCTTGGGCTGTCCCCGAAATATTCTTCTGGGGTTTTCCTCCCACCTCTAAAACTGTCATTTCTTCTCATTGTCTCCTCTCTACAGGGGCTTGCAAGCATTGCTCAGGGCGCTTAGAATTTGAGGACCCCTTGGTTTCATTACCAGAAATAATTAATGAGCTATTTTAAAGCCTGCAACAGTGCTTACAATAGATGATGAGATTTTCACACTGTTTCTTTGGCATTGATCGATTTGGAAGACTTTACGTGCAATAGAATTATTTCTTCACACGTGAGTAGAATTGCTGGCAATTGATATTTATTGACTTGCCCTCATTTTGAACCAGCAAGTCAAACTATGTCTAACCTTGGTTGTATGCATTACACATGCGAATAGTATGTACATGTACTACATACATGGGATGTACCCTGTATTTTGTGTGTTTTTTGAGGGGGTGTTTTTGTGTTGTGTTTGTGGGGTTTTTTTTGTCAAAGAGAAGGGGTGGGGTTTAGAACACATTGCTTAATAACCAGACTGTATGAGGCAGTAGCAGTTTGAGTGACTTTGGCGGTAAATCCAAGACCTTGTCCCAGACATCACTTGGCTTAACCCTCCAGGGTATGCAACACTTGGCAAAATGACAAGCCTCAGTGAAGTTAAATCCATTAGGTCAAAAGTCTAAACTGCCTCAGATCAGAGTCTGTTATCACCGAATGCAGCAGCGTAAATGGCTGTGGCATTATTCATGTACGGAGAACCCCTGCACCATGTGAAATTATGCACATCCAGACTTGCTGTGTACATGTACGTATTTTTTGATAATATTTAGTATTCAATTATTCTAATTCGAATATTTAAAAAAAAACTTGCCTATGATAGCCTTAAATCTCGCTGCTGATCGGGAATTGTGTTCTTGACCAAAGATTAGTGTTCTTGTTCAAAAATTTACCATATTTTAATATTAAGAATATCATGTACCGTACATGTATGTTATCCAATATCGATGTAGCAGAATGGCCAATATTTGACAGATGTTAAAGAAGAAACTTGAGCTTATTCCTCATAAAACTCTTAAATTGTGTGTGTGTACAGTGGCTTTTGACAAAGAGTGTTGCATGAGACAAGCAATTAAAACCAAGCAACTGTTACTGACGTAGGATTAGAATAACATGGAAGTTTTGTTCATCATCTGCTCGAAGAGACCTTACACATTTTTTTTTAATATTCAAATCAAAGAAACAAGGCTATTTGGAAATCAAACGTTCAAATATTTGTAATATTTGGCGCAGCCCTATGCATTCCCTGTTGGGTTCTTAATATTTCCCATACACGTACTAGCTGCATCAGCTATGGCAACGCATTTTACTTCCTTGTTCATTCAACTTTTGAACTGAGCGAGTTGGAGTTGCATTGTGGGTGTTCTGTCAACCGAAACCTCGCACTCTGTCTAGCAAAAAGTATTGAACCAAAGGTTGTCTAGTGTAGCCAAAATAAGCCAGTTCAATTGTACAAGGAATGTGAAGTTGTAGATAAAATTGGAAGCTAGGGGAATATCCACACACACACACACACACACACACAGACTTGTTTCACATACCTAGTGTGGACTTTCCTTTCTTTTCGTGTAGTTAAGGAACACCAGTGGAAAAACTCATTTTTCTCAAACTGTGAAAACTCTTACAACCCAATTTTTTTTCAATGATTCCCTTTAGTGTTTCTCTTCATTCTGCTACAGATAAACCTAACCCAAAAATGCCTCTAAACCTGTTTTCCAGAAATGGGGAAACACTGTGTGGACGTGGGCAAGTCCACACTTCGTCGCTGCTACCTACATTATGTGGACGTCTTTTGTTCGGAAGTCCACACTGCGTATGTAAGACAAGCTCACACACAAAGTATTGTGGAGGACTTGTTTCAGAAATTTTTGAAAAAAAATAAGGAACAGTTTAAAAAGTTTGGGAAATACTTGAACAATTTGAGAAATGCTGCAACATTTTTGAAATTTAGAGCAAAAGTTTTTATCAGTCACATCAAAAGCAATTCAAGAAACGGGAAAAAAAAGCATTTATTGTGGGAGGTGGCGCTCGTTGTTGTTTGTGTTTGTACTTGTCCAGTGTTCAGTGGTTTGTCGATATTTCTTTAAGTTCTGTGAAATTATCAGAGTTATTTTTCAGTTTTGCATTTATGTATTTAAGGCATGCCCCTATAAGCTTCGGCTTTTTTGTAATCATGCCTCCATCTTTATACAAAAACCTATTGTTGTCATGGATCTCTTACATTGCCTTTGAAGGAAATAAATGTAACTGAATTGAAGAAAGGAATTGAAATTGAAATTGAATTGAAGCTAGCAGGAGATTTGGCCCTCACACTTTCTCACCGAGTTCTCTCAAAAATGCTACATTTAATTCCTTGTTCTGTGATGGGAATGAAAGTAAACAAACTAGAGAGTGATCTGTTCCAAATAAAATTTGTGTTGTGTTGATTCATCATTACAGTATACAGCCAATGTTTTGGGGACAATTTTTGGTTTCATACCGGTATATATACAATTGGTTTGTTAGGTTGTTTCTTTTTATGTGTGCTCATTATTAGTTTTTGTTCACTTGTTCACTTAGTGGTTCATTTGTTTTTTTTGTGTTTTTGTTTGTTGGGCTGTTAAGGGTTTGTTTTTGGTTAACACTGTGACTAAAGTGTAGTGTAGGACACTAATTATTATTAGTTATAACATAAGTTTGGTCATTCCATGTCCAAAATGACTTTGAAACAATCAAAACCATTTTTTTTTTATTTCTCAAAAGTAGACCTACTCTGCGAGAAAATCTACACCAATAATAAAGCTTGTGACTTAAAAAAAAAATTGTGGGCCGCATTTGTTTTAAATATTCGTTTCTCAATGACACATTGAATTCGCTTGGCCAACGCCAATATTCAATTTGCCACAGCACATAGAAACTCTGCTTGGAATGTTTCCAGATCTGTCATGCTTAATTCCAGGAAAATAGTGTCAGTCAACCATTTAGTCATTACCAAGTGTCATTTTCTATCTGGTGCTTCTTCATAGGCCTTGTTTGCTTGCCCTAGTTTGCTTGCCCTAGTTTTAGAAAATTCAATTTCTTTATTCCTTCCTGCCATTGATGTCTTTGCATGCTTCACATCACATTGTTCTCAAATAAACTGTCTGATTTGTTCTGATTTGTTTATCTCCCCTTCCCCCTTCTGACCTCTTTTAGTCTCATGATCCACCCTTTGTGTTCCTGATCCTTTTACATTGATGCCCTTTTTCCCCACACCCCAGTTCTATAGCCCCTTCCCTTTTGTGTCCTTCTCGGGTCAAGCATTCTCGTGGTTTTCTTTTATGGGGGATGGGTTTCTGGAATGTGAAAAGCAATTGCATCATTTTAGGCAGAAGGTGTCACACCTGTAGCTACCTCCTAACTTTCGCAAAACAGCAAATTGTTCCACACACAGCAGACACAAATGTCCAAACTGTGATGCCTAACACTGTTTTGAATTGATAAGGTAAGTTGTGATGTCCATGGGAAGACTCAGAAAAACCTTGGAGATGAGGTTTGTGGTAGCATCATGCATCTCTTTTCGGAGTTGTGTGTGAAGTTCTGAGAATTGTTGAACTCGGTGACTCAGAATCATGTACAGCTTTTTTGATGGTGTAACCACCATCACATTGCTAATGGGTTCTTCGCCATGCATACCTTCAAGCTGAACTTGGACAAAAGTTGTTGAGAAATGGGCCATTCTCTAATTCGGGGGTCCGCTTTTTGTCTTGTCCCTATTAAATCAGACACTGTAATCACGGATCAACTCTTTAAATAATGTATTCTTCCTCAATGTATTCTTCCTCCCGATGTGATTATGTGAAGCAAACAACCTACCTAACACACACACACAGATAATGACACAGTTGAATTGAATGGCAAATTATAAATGTACAAAGTTCAAAGGTAAGGACAGGAAAAATGTCACACTTTGGACCCTAAATTTATAGAATGACCCGAATGGAAAACCTCTCTTCTCAGCTGTCGGCTCTCGGAGGCTAACAGTACAAAGTGTCATTGCTTGCATGCTTGCATTAGGATTCCTGGTGGGCTAAGACTTCAGAAGTCAGATTAAATTGATCACTTCTCTTTCTCTCTGCAGAAATTTTCACTCCCGAAGCAGAACCTGCGCAAGGTGAGGCGTGTGTTGAATCACCGAAGAGGAACACCTAAGAAACCAGCCATGTTGTCCCTGTCCAAGCCAGTCAGCCATTTCCCCGTCTCCCTGTTCAACCAAGACATGAAGCCCAAGTTGACCAACCTGCACCTCAAGCACGGATGGACCTCTGAGTCGGAGCCATCGTCACCGTCGTCGCCAGAGAGTGACTCGGACCTCCTGAATCCTTGCTCGTTCCTGTTGAGTCGCCAGCAAGTGCGAGCAGCCTCCCCAATCTTGGTGGACCTGTACCCATCTATCGCGGTCAAGGGATGCAAGCGGGAGGTAGCCCCAAGCAGTCCGGCGAGACCCTTGAAGAAGAGTAGAATGGTCCAACATGGTGTCATCACCAGAGAGAGTGGCACTGACAAAATGAAAATCTCCACATCACCTCAGCAAGACAAACTGTTGAAAAATCTCAGCAAGCCGCTGCTGACCTTGTCTGACTTTTCAAATAGTGAGGACGAGTTTGAACCCTGCACTAAGCGTGTCATGCACACACCATCCAAGCAGAGCTGGCTCAATGGAACGTCACCTCACAAGACCTCGCAGCCAGGCTTGCCGCGGCCTTTTAAAAAGGAAGACAGATTAGTAGGCACACCCATTCACATCAGTGTTAAGGATGTGAAAAGGGGAGCTGGGAGGGACGTATCAGTGGCTGGAAATGGAAAAAACAAATTACGGAACACCAGGGCCAATTCAACTGTCATTTTGGACTTCTGCCAGCGACAGCGTGACATGATAGAAGCCGTTGTTGATGAGAGCTTCATTGACGATTCCATTGTGCTCATCCGCGACTTTGCCACTTTACACCGCGGAGCCCCGAAGGAGTACATGATGTACCTCCTCAAAGACGTGCTTCTTGCCGACGGAACAGAAGACAACACCGTCCTGAGCGCGTATGAAGCCTTGATGCATATACACGGTCTGCATCCCACCGCTGCCACCAGTTTAACCATCGACTGGGACCTGGTCACCACCATCGTCAAGAAGCTGAATCTGGAAACCAAATCAGACTCCGCCGAGACCCCGCGCCTAGCCCACGTTCTTGCCTTGCAATTTGTCGTCGTTGTCCTCGTGGATGATTTCAAAACAGCTAGAAGGAAAGAGAAATCCTGCCTGTATGCTCTGCTGTCAGTAGACATGTGCCTGGCAAACGTCCGCACCTTAATACAGTGGATATGCGGAACCATAACCAAGAAGCTCATACAGAGCCCCGCCAAGCCGGAAACCGAACAGAAACCAGAACAGGAAACCCCCACAGAGGATCGGAACGTTTGGCAATTCCTGCAGCAGTTCACCAAGGAGACCCCTGAAACCATACCATGCAAATCCAAAGAAACTCGCCCGCAATATCCGTTGTCAGAAGGCTACCTCAGTGTCTTACATCTGCTCCAGAAACTGCTGCTTCTCAGTTTCGCTACGGGTAAGAGCGACAGCGCTCTCAAAATCGCCGAGGAGTTTCTCTACCCTTATCTCTACATTCCGAGCTTGCAACTCAGGAAAATATGTCTACAAGTAAGAGCACTGTGTTTTTGTATTTTTTCCTTTTGTTTGTGGTGTGGTGTGGTTTTTTTTTTTAAACAGCTGGTATTTTTTTCCCAATTTTTTATTTTTTGATATATTTTTTATTTTTTGATATTTTGATTTATTTCCATATATTTTTTTTTCAAATGGGATATTTAGTTGTACAATCATTGTGTGCATGGCTAACATGCCACGTACATGCACACGTTCATACGTGTACTTGTACAAAAAAATTAATTATTTAAATAAATAAATATATTGTATGTCATACAATTTTTTTTTTTATTTATTTAATTTTTTTCCCAATGGGATGCCATTTTTACATGTGCATTGTACATGTAGTTACAAGTGTTCAAGATTTTAAAATACACGCACACACAAACGTGTGTTCACCGTCGATCGTGGACGTCCTATTGTCCCTCTTTTGTTTTTAGAAAGACTCCCATACAGGTAGGTTATGTACATGACCCCAATCGTGGACGTTTGCTACGAATCGTGGACGATATTGTTCTCTTTTGTTCTCTTCTGGTATTTTTCATCCACGGTTTGAAAAGATGAACATGTACACAAAAGAAAACAAATAAAAAAAGTGTGCATGGATGAAAGATTTTATGGTCTTGGTTCGGTTGATAAGAAAAATATTTGTATTCAACAGGAATTGAATTATTTCACGTGACTGTGACTCACCACAAAAGCAGCACAGTTGTTTTGGCAGCAAGCCAAACACTATGACTGAGACGATTTTATTGTAGGCAACAGATGGAATGGAGGCCACCATCCGTGGCAATACCGATGCACATAACATGTGTTTGTATACAGACCAAGCTGGCATTCGAACCACAATTATATCGTCAGTTACCGTGGCAGCATTACGCTTGAGAGAAGGAACGCACATTGCACGCTTTCCTAAATTTGATCGTGGTTCATGCACATGATTGGTGAACAATTTTATAGGTTAAAGTTAAAAGAACACTCCTTCGCCAGGAAGTGCTCAACCCTGAAAGGGCATTTGGCTAAAAAGTACCCAGACGCCTGAAATTTAAAACCTACATTTCACCCTCACCACCTGGGCCTTTTTTGATACATGTACATGTACCGGTAGGTACCATCCACAATCCTTTAATCAGTTCACCCCGGATAACGTGAAAACACGCAATGGTTTTGCGGTATTTGGAACGGATTACGGATAAACACGCAGGGAGCGAGGCCAGAAATATCTGTCAGCGACCCGCTTGCAGCGAGCGAGGCCGGAAATATGAGTGTGCTGTCCGAGGGTGATGGTTTCAACCCGCCTGGCTTGAGGTCGAGTGAAAAGTAGTCCTGCGCCTCATTCCGTTCTTGTTAAAATATTCCCCGCGTGAACTGGTTAAAATCCTCCAAGTGCCAATAATAAAAATTGGACACAGCCTACGTCCTTCAATGCAATATTGGGTTTTGCCCTGACCGACATATTTTATAAACACTGTCTGCTCAGTGTCCCCTCCCCCCCCCCCCACCCCATCATGGGATAACACCTGTCATTTTCAAGAAAAGTGGAAGTTTTGTATCAAAAACTGACTTATTTTCAAAAACTGCCCTCAATGTACCGTTCTTAGTCCACATTTTCTTCACAATCGGTTACACATCCAAGAATGGGTGCAAGCCTGCTACTAGTCCGGTTCTCTGACCTGGCAATTCCCTGACGTCTACAAATTGCTCCATTCCATCTGAAGTAGGATCAGGGAACCAAGCTACAAAGAACAACATTTTCTTCCTTAGTTTTCCCGGCATCAATGAACACAAAACTTGAGTCAGTGTAACAATATTTGCTATAAATACTAACCCCCAAATCCATCCATTTCTGAAAATAACAGCAAAAGCAGATGTTGTTGTACATGCATATATTACCTTTAACAGACATAACAGATGTTGTCCCTATTCCATTACATACACTGTATATTTACCATAAATTTCCAATTTATTTATTATATATTTTTTTAATATTGCATTACGCCAGCTTAGCTATCACATAACAGTGACATATGATAAAAGAAAATCAAAATTGCCAATTAACCGTCTGTGCTCTCTGCATGAGCAACATAAACATAATTGGCACACGGTGTACGTGCTACAAGATATATTTCATGATATGCATGTTTTTTTGCCGCATGTAAATGATATACATGCATGAAATTTTCATGACGCAAACGTGAAATACAAAATGCATTAAAAGTACACTGCGCCGCACAGGAGATTAAGTACTTCAAATAAAAGTTTAATATGTACACGTACATATGAGCGCAATAATTCATTGAACATCATGCACTGCATCAAGGACATGTAAGCTGACAGCATAGAGCTATATTAAATTACTAGAGCGCTAACTCGCCATTCTGCGCGCGGAGACGCTTTGAAGCCGTCCTGGGCGCAGACATTTTGAATTCATGTGCGTGTTTGTAGAACATAATGAAATTAGATAGATTGAATTTTGAAAGTGTACTCTACATGCAACGCGCAAGTAGAACACACGCAAATAACTTATGCACGTCATTGACGGTTAAACAAAACGTGATCTGCAAAAAGCATCTGCAGCGAATACGCGCATGCGTTGCACTGTTTGCGTAGAGCAAAATGACACGCTCATATGCTGATCGTGCGTTTCGGTTTTGGGCGTATTGGCTTCGATATCGCACCAGTATGGAATACAAACGCAGATATGCAAATAGCCTTACAACTACAAAAGCCGAACAAAATTTCTAGGTCTCCATAGGTTTGTGCACAAACATGGATGCGCCCAGCAGGCATTACTTTGTACACGAAGTTAGCGCTCTAGTAATTTAATATAGCTCTATGGCTGACAGTCAGTAAATAAGTATGAGACAATGTACACTTTCACATTTGCTTTGTAACTTGTATCCATGGTATACGTGTATCTGTAGTTAGTGATACGTGTATTCCTTTGAAAAGAGCTACAGAGCATTTTCATTTTCACTGCACCTTTGTGGCCTTGTAATCAGTGTTAAAAACTGAACACGGAAAATAAAAAAAATTATAGAAAAAGTTATAATTAAATAACCATGAAGGAAATAAGAAGTGTTTTTGGGCAATTCCGCGGTTACTCTTGTACATTTTTGATGTACTTTTGAGTTTCCTTGGGCCGTAATTACCTTACCGAAAAGGTTTAATAACTGTTATCCCCATGGTAGATAGAGTAGACCTAGACCTACCTAAGCACCAAAGATGACATCCAGAAAAATGTGTTATGTATGATAAACAAGACGCACAAAATCGGTTACTCACGTTACGAAAATGTAACGTGAGTAGCTGTGGAATTGCCCTTTGGTTTTTGCTGTGGCCATGTTACATGGAAGAGATGAACTCGTTATCAAGTTCTGACAATCACAGTTTAATGGTGACCTTGGCAACAAAAGTTTTTATATTCAAATTTTCATTTACCAAATAATTATATAACATTGGATGGCTTTTTTGGGGGGAGATACAAGAATATATTGCATGAGCAAAAATAATATCGCATGAGTCGTAGATAAGTGCAATATTGTTATATAATGTTAAAAGTAAACAGTATCCCAATAGGGAATTATGAAAATTGGCGAAAACGAATGCCTATCCCACATCCATCAGGTAAAACCATCAGAACCAAACAACTCAGAATGCATGGAATGAGACCACTGTATTTCTGGACGCCAAGTGACTCCTCAGTGAGTATTCCCGAAGAAAGGGCTTGGACACTGCGATTTATGGACCATCGTCAACAGCCCTTTGTTTTGCCATGTTGTTAATACTTTGCCCATTCGTTTGTTTGTTTGTTTGTTTTAATCAGACGATGACCTGTGACCAAGTCAGGTCAAAGGTTATAGAACTCTTGCTGGAGAACCTCTGTGAGCTGAACAGTAGCGAGCAACAAGGCGTGCTGTCCGTCCCTAAAATAGTCACCTGCCTCTTCAAGTCCCGCCCCATGCGAGTCGGCGAGTTTGTGCTCGCAGAGCGCGATGTCAACGCGACCGAGAAGCGGAGAGTCCGGTCTCCTAGCGACGGGATGCGGGAGATAAAGGGGGAGGAGTGTGAGGAACTGGCCATGTTGCTGTTCTCTCTCCTGCAAAGCTACATCCGAAACAAGAAAGGTTGGTGGTCGTGTGTTTCTGATTCCAGGCGTTAGATTTGTCAGACTTTTGTCTGAAGTTAGACTTTTTGAGTCTGAGAAAAAGACATTATCAGTCATGTCAGTATAGAAAGAGATGCATCTATCAGACCTTTTATTAAATTTTAGGACTTTTTTTTTAAATTGATAATCTCACCCCTGTGATTCATATGAGACCTGCTCCCTTGAACCTCGGACAAAGTTGCTGAAGTTGTTTTTTCCACAAAGGGCCTTTGAAGTCATTTTGGGCTGGAACGGGCAATTTTGAGGTTTTGATAATTTCTAAATTAGTAATTATAAATTGAAAACCTTTGAGTAATAGTGGGTTTTTTGGTCGATTTAATTTTAAAACGTGTATAGAAATTTGTAAAAAAAAAAGCATTTCAATACAGGTGTTTATCTTTATTGGGTTGTCAGGGTTTTATTACGCATTTCTTCTTTCAAGGGGGTGATACAGTCACAGTACCAGTGAAGAGCATAATTTTGAAGCTAAATTTTGTCGCAGCCCCCTCCTTATGGAACAAGCTTCCATCACAACTCAGGGGACTGTTCATGTATTGACATTTTTAAGCGTCATTTGAAGACCTACCGGTACCTTTTTAGGCAATATTATTTTAATTAATTGAATATTATTTCCTTTTAACTTTGAATGTAGAATTGAAGCGAATTTTCAAAACGCAAGTAATTTGAAAATGCCAAAATCTCAAAGACAGAATTTGTCAACTTTGTCCGGGTTTTGTGAGAGCAGGTCTATTATACTTTTTTGACATGTCGATAAATGCGAACTTTAAACAGTCATAACTTGTCAACGGAATGTCCAACTGAAGCGCAACAAACAGTATTATAAGGAGAATTTTGGTCTCTTTCCTAATACCCGCAAACTCTCATTTCGATCTCTGCCCAGTCCTGTCTCATTTCGCCAGAACGCCTCACATATGTAGAAATGAATTTGCATATTGTTTTTTTGTTTGTTTTGTTTTAGCTCACGCGCTGCAGACAGTCAGCCACGATGCCCAGCCGTCCTACAGCCCTGACGAGTTCTCCCCGAACTCCCTGCCGTCAAAACCGTCCCACCCTGCCGCCGAGACCGGGCTGAGCATGGAGGACAGGGAGTGCCTTCTTCAGATGGGCGATCACGCCGAGGCACTGGAGACCCGACTGAGAAGCCACTGCGAGAAGCTGACTATGAGGACCCGACTTTACCTGGCCCAGATTGAGAGCATGAGGGAACTGGCTTGACGACAAGGGAAACCAGACTTGACCTTTTAATGCAAGGGATTGGGTGCTACAGAAACGTGTGTGTGTGTTGATTAGAAAGTAGTCTAGGTGCCAGATTTCAGTTAGTCTCGGTCTGAGTCTGGATTTTTATTTTGTTTACCTCATGCAGCAGTAGAGGGCGCTATCTAGTCTAGTCTTGGGAAATATGGCATTGGAACCAGAGAAATTGCAGATATACCTCATGCTCACATTGGCTGAAATGTGGATCGCGTGAGATATGCTTGGACGAAGACTAACGATTGAGTGCAAAAGAAATGGACTCTGTGCACAAATACCCTCTTTAATGTGACCGGGGTAGAGTTATCATGACCGATTTACATGTACATGGCTACAAATGCCATAGACACATGCGTAAATTGCTGACTGCAAGCAAATAATCCAGACGCGGCTTAAGACCAATTCTCTGCCTCAGTGCACCAAATGCCCACAGGAATATGTCATTTTCATGCTTATGCACAGCGCCAACGGACCCCATGCATAGGGGATGTTAAAGGCAATGCTCATTTTTCACCTAGGAAAGGCATGACTGATGCTTAAACGTTACCCACTAATTTTTTAAAAAACCATACCTCTCAAAACTGTCTACACCCCGCGGTATTGTAGTCCGAGTATCATCCGTTGTTCAACAAAGCCTGTTTGGTATTCAATGTCTGGTATACATGTATGTGAGCATGCAAATTTTATGCGACCCCGCTTGCCGGCCAATCAGAGTAGACTTAAGAAATTGTGACTCCATTCGATCAGAAATGTGGACTAAGCTGTTGATTGGTCAATTTGGCTGTCATGTTTTTGTAATACAGTTTTGTACAACAGCGGGTTACTGAAGTCCCGATATAGAAGCCTCTCGCTGAATAATCAAAATCTCGAGGTCAAGACACAGTCTTGTTTTGTATAATTAATCGCCAAATCTGCTCGCGTATTTATAGACCCTTGCTGTGCAAGGGGATATTCCACAGACGACGGTATTCCCGCAAAACCTGAAATCTGAACTTACCTCAGAATGCGTTTGTAGTCAAAATGAGTTCAGCCGTTTTGACTGGTAGACTCACGACGGGTGTAGATTTGCTTGTTAAGAGAACCATTTCATTATTATTATTAATCATTTCTGGTAATGAAACCAAGGATTCCTCAAAAGCGCCCAAGGCACTGTAGCACGCAAGCCTGAAGAAACCTGTGGAGAGAAGACAATGAGAAGAAGTTACAGTTTTACAGGTGGGAGTTTTCCCAGAAGAATATTCTGGGGAATACCCATGGAATCAGGTAGGGACTGAAAACCCAATCCACATGTTGGCCCAGGCGGGATTCGAACCCGGGTCACAGCGGTGGAAGGCGAGGAAAGTACCGCTTCGCCAACCTGACTTCATAGATGAAGGCTGGTTAATGCACAGCGCGAAAGCAAATGTGGATGTGTATGTGTTTTGTGACGTCATGGCAGGTTTTCACGCTTCTAAGTTTTCGAAAGTTGAGCGTATTTCAACTCTGACGAATTTCACAGCGAATGTTTGCTGACGTTAAATTCACTTTGCTTTTTGCGTGAAGTGTAAACTGATGGATTGAGTGACCAAGGCCTAAATATTGGAGCTTGTGCAATGTGTGAATACACACTAGTGATTACTTTTTGTTTTCATTATGGTGCTCGGAGTTAAATTGCAAGAGAGAGAATTAACGTTTAAGGGGGGGGGGGGCATGACCATTATTCAGCATCTTCAGTTGAAAAAAAGAAAAAATGTGTCACTGAAAACTTGAATGGGATATAAGACTAATAAGAAGGAAATGACCATATCATCGGTGGACATGGATAAAACAAATCCTGAATCATCTAAACTCCTTCTCTGTACAAGAAACCAAAAGCATTTTCTCTGTACTTAGAAGAGCCAACCAGGCCCCTTATTAAAGATGTACTGTCTACGCTCTTCAACAAGTTTGATTATTTTTTTTGCAAACAAATTTTCAACTTGTGATTTTTCCTGAGCAACCCCTCTAAAAGGTTTTTATTACGGGTTGCTTTTGCACTGAAACAGATCCGCTATGCAACACTGGTTCCTTATTGATTCTGATCGCGAGTCGGAACCAGTCTACCCTGCAAGTCGTGAATTATTGTCGGCTACAATTCATTCAAATTGTTTTTAAATTATTTCATAATTAAACATAAGCTGACATTTTTTGCCTGATGTGAATAACTTTTGTAATGCCACAAAAATCACCATTCAAAACAAAATCCATTTTAAGAGTGAAACACAAAAAAATTCCAGCGCCTTGAGTACCTAATTGTTGGTAGATACGTGCGCTATACAGGGTGAGTAAAAATAAATGAAACCCCAATGTCGGGACCATTGTTTTAAAGTTCTGTCCATGGATCACAAAAAAAGGTGTGCATTCTTTCAGCAAAACGAAAACAATTCACACACATCCTTGTGATTTGTTTTCGTTTTGCTGAAAGAACACTGAATTTTTTTGTGATCTGTGGACAGAGCCTTAAAACGGTGGTTGTGTTTAAAACTCCATAACTTGAAAAGTACATGAGTAATTTGAATGATTCTTGTACTAAAAGAAAGCTTATGAATTGGGCTTTTTGTATCCTAGATTTTGAAAGTGCTACATGCAGAACTTCACTAAAACAATGGTCCCAACATTTGGGTTTCGTTTTTTTTTTACTCATTCTGTATAAGACTCTTATTATTATTATAAATAGCACGGACAGATCATCTTTAAATAATAACTATCAGGGCCAATGCTGCGAAACGTTTACCAGATAACGTTGGGAATCCCCTAGTAGAAAAAAATGTTAACCTTTTCATGTGCAAGCCATGCTAACTTAATACATTCATAAAAATTGCTGGTTAATCTTTTCACGCTTTTAAGCAAATTCTTCCTCAAGACTAAGCATGCTCTTTTCTGTGCTTAATGCTCACACAGTCTGCGTGAAATGGACAGAGTTCAATGTGAGCTGAAAAATGGCGTGCCTAAAAGTGCAGTGACATTTGGTTCAGCTCTTGTTCTTGCAAGCACACACAAGCCAGATGGCATGGATCTATAACAACAGCCAGTGTCTAATATACAACCATTTGCTTTCACTTTCATTTTCTGGTATTTTTTTAGACGACTGAACTCAAATCGAAAGTGGAAATATTGCAGAAGGGAAATACCTGTGCATGTAGACGCACTTTTTCAGAGTTCAGATTTCGTTATTCAACTATATCGTGAAGTTTCAGTTTGTACGCAATGCATTAATCTCTATCAACGACGGTTGCTGTGTAGCACGAAGCTATATTCCCCAAGCATTTTGGAGGATTGATAAATTTTACTTTTCAAATTTCCTATGATGTGACCAAAAAGCTACATTTGTATTAAAACTAAGCTTCAGATGTATAAAGTGTAATGTAGATACGTTTGTACGATATTGTTAACGGAATGATCATACCTGTATATATTTGTTAACATTAAGAGTCATTCTGCATTGTGATTTTCTTTTACATTATTTATTTAATACTTCATTCTTACTTTTATTTAAATAGTGTAGAAGATGCTGGATAACCTTATTAAAGAAAGAGATGGACACAAGTTGTTGTCTTGCAAAGTTCTTTATTTGCTACTCTGTCTACTGATTTCAGAAGTGTACTACATATATGCATTTGCATTTTCTACTAGTGCACAGCCACAATCATGTAAACACATCCAAATTGATGATTTGAAAATTTATTCATAAATACCTCAGACAGTTTAGCCATTCCTATTGGTCGAGAGCCCGTCACGTGGCCGGTATTAAACGGATGATAAAGACATGGCTAGCTGGTCTTAAACACTTTTCCAGTGTCACAATAAAATGTGGACTCCTAAAAATCCAGTGGCTCTTATCGTTTCATTGGTTGAACGTTCACAATCCTCACGTAGGCATGCGCAACACTACCAGGGAGTTAGAATTTTATAGTTCTAAATTCAAAACGAAACGCGCCAGGTGCGTTCTGCGCGACATCGCATAGAACATGATACGCGCGCGTCAATCTCCATAAAAGGGTTGTTTTCATCTTACTCGCCAGCTGAACACTCCATTATTTTGCAGGAGGGATGATTCAAAAAGCATAAAGTGAATTTGTTGAACAAAATCGAGATGTTTTGAACGAATTATATGATTTTTTTTTACCGAAAAGGTATTTATGAATGGGAATAAATATGTACTCCGTCGGTATTTATCACTCTGTTTAATACCACTTAGAGTCTGGGTGCTGATAATTACCCTCGCCTCCGGCTCGGGTAATTATCAGCACCCAGACTCTAAGTGGTATTAAACAGAGTGATAAAAACCTCCGGAGCACACATTTATTCCCTTAGTAATTACAAAACTGTTGAAATAAAGGACAACCAATCTGAAACAGACTCGCCGCATGACACCAATTTTTAATGTGTCAAAGCAATAAAATAAATAGTTTTGTTCAGAATTTGAGGATGTTAACGACTTTTGGTAAATTTTTTTTTTAAATTAAACGTTTGAAATATCACCTTTCGTACTGAAGCAATTAGGCCAAGTTACATGATTGAGGTTGTGCAAATACAATGCAGCATGAAAAAAGTCCATGAATTAATATTCCCCCTTTATTGTAAATATAAGCAGTGCTTATTGAGGCAAAGTACATGTATACACCATGTACATGTACACATGTATACTCATTCAATAATTGTGGGGAGTCCAAGGGCGGATCCAGGGGGGGGGGGGCCATGTCCCCCCCCCCCCCGAAAAAAATTCGGGGCCAATTTTTTTTTATGTGACGTCGCAATAAATGCAGGCAATGAGTACACCACCATCTTTTCCTCAAAAAACATTGGCTAAAGTGGTAAGAAATTGCCTCAGATCGCACCACAGAGCATCGAGAATCCAACAAAAATTCGGGGCCCTTGACCCACTTTTTGGGAGACACCAATTTTTTTTGGCCCCCCCCCCCCCAAAAAAAATTGCGTTCTGGATCCGCCCTTGGTGGGGACCACACTCCTGTTGAACGATAGTTAAGGAGACCAAAGGGGCCTTGGGGACACTCAAAAGTCCCCAAAACTCTGGCAACAATTTTCCTAACAATAGAAAAGTTCCCCACAATTTGGTTCTCCTATCAGTGTTACTTCAGGCATCTTTCTTGCAAGTTTCAAGGAATTTCATTTTTTGGCCAAAATTGAAAAAAAATAAACAAGGGGTTGTTAGCCTTACAAACACATTTTCTTTTCAAAGGCACATCTGTTCCCAAATCGGATTGGAATGTGTTCAGTGTTACTTAAGGCATCTTTCCTGCAAGTTTCAAGGAATTTCATTTTTTGGCCAAAAATGACAAAAAACAAGGGGGTTAACCTTATATTTTTAACCAAATTTGGCCAAAAATTGACTTTTCTCCAAACAACACAGAAATACCTCTGGAGACGAGTGGAACATAAATCAATATTCAAACATCCACATTTTGGCAGATGTAGGCAAAAACTCCTCCTTTTTGGGGGTAGGAAATACATATAAATCAAACCGAATTTTGACTGATTTTACCCCAAATTTTCGGCCAAATTTTCTTTCCAAAGGTACATCTGTTCCCAAATCGAATTGGAATGTTTTCAGGGTTACTTTAGGCATCTTTCCTGCAAGTTTCAAGAAATTTCATTTTTTGGCCAAAATTGACAAAAAACAAGGGGGTTAGCCTTACAACATCCACATTTTGGCAGATCTAGGTAAAAATCATCCATTTTGGGGGGAGGAAATACATGTAAATAAAACCGAATTTTGACTGTTTTTACCCAAAATTTCCGGCCAAATTTTCTTTCCAAAGGTACATCTGTTCCCAAATCGAATTGGAATGTGCTCAGGGCTACCTTACGCATCTTTCCTGAAAGTTTCAAGGAATTTCTTTTTTTGGCCAAAATTGACAAAAAAACAAGGGGTTAGCCTTACATTTTTAACCAAATTTGGCCAAAAATTGACTTTTCTCAAAACAACGCAGAAATACCTCTGGAGAAGAGTGGAGCATGAATCAATATTCAAACATCCACATTTTGGCAGATCTTAGCATAAATAATCCATTTGGGGGGGGGGGAGGAAATACATGTAAATCAAATCGAATTTTGACTGATTTTACCCCACATTTTCGGCCAAATTTTCTTTTCTAAGGCAGATCTGTTCCCAAATCGGATCGGAACATGATCAGGGTCACTT